TGCCAAAGATGACTAGGGAACGCCCATTTTGTGCCGTCAGCCTTCTGAGCCAGGAAATAGGAATTCACACTCTATCCAGCAAGGGCTGGGTAATAGGGCCCCATTGACAGCAGGACCTAGGAGGAAAAGCAAAGGGCCAGGGATGAGAAGACCTGGGCTCAGTTTCTTCCCCACTGCTGCCTTTCTATGTGGTTCTGAGTGGGCAGCCTCATCTCTGTGCATCTCAGTATGTTACAAATAGTGGGAGCTCAAGAAATGTTCGCCTATTGGCTGAATGGATGGGTCTATGTAATGAAACTTATGCCACTTGATACACCCTACCCCTTTTTATAAATAAATAATCTTTTGGAAAGATAGACATTCTCTGTATAACCATTCTGTATAGCCATTCTCTGTAGAGCTATTATATTAGACAAATTTGTAGTTCAACAAAGAAGCAGATTTGATTTCTAAATGCTGGGCATACATGTTCAACCATAATGGGACACTCCTATTGTCTTCTAGTACCTGTCTCAAAGACCTCCAGCCAAGGGAGGGAAAAAAAAATCAAGCCTTAAGAATAAACACCCCTCTTCATCCCCTACCATCCATGTGTTAGGGAAGTTAACAAAAAGTAAACAATTTGTTCCTGTTGTGCTAAACCTTCAAAAGGCAGGAAACCAGCCACTAAATTAGATCTTGTAGAAGAGTTTAGCTATCACTTTTGTGGTTTCCAAAAAAGATCACCTACTCTTGATGAGCAGACAGTTTGTTCTGCTGTGTTGCATAGAGTCCAATGCAGTAAATATTTATTGAGTACTTGTTATGTTTCAGGCTCCGTTGGGGACTGCATGGTCCTGCCCCCAAGTCTATCTAGCGGAGGATAAGATCTGTACCCAGATTCCTGTAATATAGGGCAGAATTAAATGCCATTGTGGGTGTATAGCGCTACAAAGAATGTTCTGTGGAGAGAGCAGATGGACTTGGGGAAGGCTTTAAGAGCTCCAGAGACGCTACTGCAGGTGGTTTCCAGGCCACCCTCTGAAAATGTCTTCCTTTTTTTTGCTCCTTCCCCGGAGCTGCAAACCTCCGTTTCTCATGGGGGTTTGCGCACATGCCACCTAGCCCCGACCACTCTGCCTCCCTCACACCCTTCTCTTCTCCAGCCCAGGGACACCTCTACTGGATGCTGGACACCAAAACATTCTCAGGGGCAAGGAACCATCAGACACACTTATTTTACTGAAAACCTGAAATAAATTGCCCTGTATGAGTAGGACTCTGCCTGCCCACACTTTGCCATTCAAAATGTGGCTCCTGGACCAACAGCATCAGCATCACCTGGGAGCTTGTTAGAAATGCAAAATCTCAGACCCCATCCCAGACCTACTGGATCAGAATCTGCATTTTAGCAAGATTCCCTGCGTGGTTCATTTGCACGTTAAAGTCTGAGAAACATCAGGCAAAAGCTCATTTATAAATTGAGAGCTTTTTTCTAAACGCTTAAAGGTAAAATTTTCCCCCATGATCGTCTCATAACTCCCACCTGAACCATAAATATGATCAAATCCATCTTCCTGCCTCCATTTCTCCCAAAGCACTCAGGCAGCTGGGTAGGCCTGAGGCTGGTTTTCCCTGGACACAGAAAAAGGATCATTTAGAGAGAGAGTTTTTATTTCAACGGTCTAAGGAAGAGATTTGGAAGAAGCCCTTTCTCTGCTCCAGAGGAAGAGAGAACTTGCTTCTAGTGTGATCCACTTTGTCTTGGTGTCCTCACCTCCACGTTGGGAGGCCCCTCACTGCTACCAGGTCTGTCCTCTGCCACCTGCAATCTGTGACTCTCAGCCTGGAAGGGACCAGAGAGGACATCTTGTTCCTACTTCTACAGGTTTCCAGATTTCCCTTAATGGCTCTAACAAATGGATGCCAACCAGAGAGATTAGAAGGCTTTTCCAAGCTCACATATGTAGAGACATCAAGAAAAACATGAAAGTATATAGCATTTGCTCATACCTACCCTATTTAATTAGGTACTTGCCTTTTATTCTTATTTCCCAGGTCTTAGAGAGATTAAAGTAAAATTGCAGGCAAGGTCCTTGGCAGTATCTGAAAAAATATACAAAAAATCCCCCCCAAAAAATCTATGCTAAGAATCTAACTTTATCCTTCACTGCTGTTCTCCTGGATTTGACATATCAACCCACTGCCATAGAGTTGATTCCAAATCATAGAGTAGGACTGCCCTGTAGGGTTTCCGAGGCTGTAAATCTTTACAGAAACTGACTGCCACATCTTTATTCCATGGAGTCGCTGGTGGTTTTGAACTGCTGACCTTTTGGTTAGCAGTGAAGCACTTTAACCACTGTGCCACCAGGGCTCCTTGAGGTATGTTGTTGTTGTTATGTGCCATCAAGTCAGTTCCGATTCATAGAGATCCTATGTACAATAGAAAAAAATACCCCCTGGTCCTGCACCAGCCATCCTCACAATCATTGTTATGCTTGAGCCCATTATTGCAGCCACTGTGTCAATCCATCTCTTTGAAGCTCTTCCCCTTTTCACTGACCCTCTACTTTGTCAAGCATGATGTCCTTCTCCAGGGACATCCTGATAGCATGTCCAAAGTATGTGAGACAGAGTCTCGCCATCCTTGCTTCTAAGGAGCATTCTGGTTGTACTTCTTCTAAGACAGGTTTGTTTTTTTCTTTCGACAGTCCATGGCATATTCAATAGTCTTCACCAACACCACAATTCAAAGGTGTCAGCTCTTCTTCAGTCTTCTGTATTCATTGTCCAGCTTTTGCAGGCATATGAGGCAAATGAAAACACCATGGCTTGGGTCAGGCACACCTTAGTCTTCAAAGTGATATCTTTGCTTTTCAACACTTTAAAGAGGTCTTTTGCAGGAGATCTGCCCAATGCAATGCATCGTTTGATTTCTTGACTGCTGCTTCCATGGGTGTTGATTGTGGATCCAAGTAAAATGAAAACCTCGACAACTTCAATCTTTTCTCCATTTATCATGATGTTGCTTATTGGTCTAGTTGTAAGGATTTTTGTTTTCTTTATGTTGAGGCATAATCCATACTGAAGGCTATGGTCTTTGATCTTCATCAGTAAATGCTTCAAGTCCTCTTCACTTTCAGCAAACAAGGTTGTGTTATCAGCATAAGGCAGGTTGTTAATGAGCCTACCTCCAATCCTGATGCTGCGTTCTTCTTCATATAGTTCAGCTTCTCGGATTATTTGCTCAGCATACAGATTGAATAGGTATGGTGAAAGCATACAACCCTGATGCACACCTTTCCTGATTTTAAACCACGCAGTATCCCCTTGTTTTGTTCAAATGACTGCCTTTTGATCTATATATAGGTTCCTCATGAGCACAATTAAGTGTTCTGGAATTCCCATTCTTCAAAATGTTATCCATAATTTGTTATGATCCACACAGTCGAATGCCTTTGCATAGTCAATAAAACACAGGTAAACATCTTTCTGGTATCCTCTGCTTTGAGCATGGATCCATCTCTGGTATAGTCACCCTTATTAAATATATTTTTTTGTTGAATGCTTTAAGCCTGATTGCGTGCACATATGTGCAAATGTACGGCTTTTCATTATTCATAATGGTTATCCTATTCCTCAAAAACTTTCCTAAGCTCAATGATTTATCTTATTCCAAGACAGGGTCTCACACAGTGCTTCAAACAGAAGAGGATGCAGCAAATGTTTGCAGAATGACATAATGACTGGATTCCAGTTTCACTGCCTAAGTGTTCATATATCAACAGCACTGCTTCCAGAGAAAGAAAAAAAGGCAAATTTTCTGCTCATTCTTGGGAACTTGAAGTCACTTTCAACTCTTCAAAAATCCAAAACTCAGGGCTGCTAACTGGAGAGGAGTCCCTTGTATGAGCATCTGCAGACAACCTTGTGACTAGCTCACCCAAGTGGCCTTGTTGCCCTTCCCACTGGTCACTTTTCCATCCTGAGCTATTCTGCAGCTGTGCTTCAAAAGGAGCTCAGCCACTGGGTCAATTCCCACCCAGTGACAAGAAAGAAACACTATCTCTCACTGCAAGGGGTATTTGAAACATGGTCCAGTCAACTGCACCAATCAACAGTTATATCTTTTATTCACACAGGTGGGCATATGAGGCTCCCAGGCAGGAACAACTTAATATGTTCTTCAGCTCTAGTTTCTTGGGGATTTCTTAGTTCCTCAGTTTCCTAGTTTTTCAACTACTCAACAATGAAGAATAAATGCTTAGCATCTCAATTAGAGGAAAGTAATGAAAATCACTTATTACACTGAGTTGATCCTCATTATTTGTGGAGTCTGTATTTGCGAATTTGCCTACTCGCTAAAATTTATTCACAGCCCCAATATCAATACTTGCTGTGCTTTCGGGATCATTCAGAATGTGCATGTGCAGAGCAGGGTGGGAAAAGTTGAGTGGTTCCATATTTGCTTAATCAGCATTCACAGGGACTTTATAGAACGTAATTACCACGTATGAGGAGAATTGACTGTCTATGTGATGCAGTCTCATGCCTAAACTCTAACAACATAGGCCTAAAAGCTATGAGTCCCTGGGTGATGTAAATGGTTAATGTGCTCACCTGCTAACTGAAAGGTTACAGGTTCGAGTCCACCCAGAAGCACCTCAGAAGAAAGGCCTGGAGATCTGCTTCTGAAAAATCAGCCACTGAAAACCTTATGAAGTGCAGTTCTACTCTGACACACATGGGGCGACTTGATGGCAACTGGTTAAAAGCTATGACAGCTCTCAGTAGCTTGAACTCCCTCTTCCAACTGCAGCCTGGGGTGGGGGCCATCCAGGGACGCCTTAGTCCTAGCCAGCCCTGAATACTCCCTGGGCGTCCACGGGCCTCCGGCAGGAGAATATCGAGGAACGATGGTTTTTCTCCTCAGCAGCAGCCTCACCTGCCCCAGAAGGCAGAGACATCCAAGATAGTGGGACCACCCTGCTGGCAGGGGGAAGCCATACTAAGCCTACCTGACTCTGTCCTCCCATCCTCTTTCTCCTGGGCTTTCTCAAAGGCACTGGAGCCCCTGGGGAAGGGCTGGTGGCTGAAGAGGTCATCACACAGGAGGCTTCGGCACAGCTTGGCCAGGAAGCGAAGGACGTACCCAATGCTGTTCACCACAGGTAGACTCCGCACGTGCTGTTTTCCGTCAAAGGAAGCTGAGACTGAAAAACCATGGAGACAGCAACTAAGAGCCAGGCACTGGAGAAGAGTGTTTTGTTTGTGCTGGTTCTGTTTTTTAATAGGCTGTCTTTGAATTGGAGTCCCTGGGTGTTAATGTGCTTGGCTGCTCACCAAAAGGTTGGAGGTTTGAGTCCACCCAGAGGTGCCTCAGAAGAAAGTCCTGGTGATCTACTTCCAAACAATGAGCCATTGAAAACCCTACAGAGCACAGTTCTACTCTGACACACATGGGGTCACCATGAGTCGGAATCTACTTAATGGCAACTGGTTTTTATTTTAATGTCACCTGTTTTTTTCTCACTAATGTCCTGTTTCTGTTTTCACTAATGGTGTAATATATGTTATTTCCAGGATCCAATCCAGTAAACCACGTTGAATTTAGTCATCATGTCTCCTTTGGTCAGTTTCTTGGTCTTTCCTTGGTTTTCAGGACTTGGACAGGTTTGAAGAGTAGTGGTTAGGTATTTCGTAAATGCCCTGAGTCGTTTGAGTTTGTCTGATGTTTTTCTCACCATTAAATTGGGGTTATGAGCTTTTGGGAAGAAGACCATACAGTAAATTGCCTTTCTCATCACATTATATCAGAGGTTACATGGTATCCACATGACTTATCACTGGTGATGTTAAACTTGATCATTTGGCCAAGGTAGTGTTTACCACATTTCGCCACTGTATTCTCCATATTTACTCCTTGGAGGTGAGTCACTAACTCCTGCCCACGCTGCAGGGTGGTGGGAGCATGAAGCTCCACCTCCTAGAGAGGGGAGATTCTACATATTATTTGGAATTCTCCTATAAGGAAGGTTAGTCCCCTCTCCCCCATTTATTTATTTAGTCAATTACTTATTTATATCAGTATAAGTTTATATCTTATACTGCTGCTAATTCAATACTATGCTGTTTATTTGCTGCTCAAAGTGTTCCAGCTTTGGTCTTTGGGCGCTTTCTCGGGTTGACTCCTGCGTCACTTATGACCTACCATGATTTTTTTTAGCACCTCTTTGCTTCCTGACACTACTGTATTCTTCAGGCTCATTTTGTATATTACCTGCCCCAGCCCTACAATCAGCCATTTCTCCAAGGAGCTTTGGTTCCTTTTACGGAAGAGGTTAGAAAGAAAGTGGCATTTAGAAGTGGACATTGGTGTGCTCATTGCTACTGGGGAGTCACTAGTTCTGAGCCCTTTCACTGAGCAGAGCTAAGAAACGTATGTGTGTATGCTGTTGTGGTTAGGCTCTGTCAGTCATTTTTGACTCATGGCGACCCTGTATGATAAAGTAGGACTGTCCCATAGAGTTTTCTTGACTGTAGTCTTTATGGAAGCAGATCACCAGGTCTTTCTCCTGCAGTCAAACGCTTAACCATTTGTGCCACCAGGGCCCCTTTTATCTGTATACTAACCCACTGTATTTATTTGTGTGTGTGTGTATATATATATATATTCAAATAAATATGCATTGATATTGATGACTCCAACTCTAGTCCAGCACCACAGGGTTCACTCTTACCTTCTGAAGGAGAATTTTACAAAAGGAAAAAATCCTCTCCACGGTGGGTTACCAGAATTTAGACTAGAGAGACACCAGTTTCCTGTAGCCCAGAGCCTGTTCCTTTATGCATTTCTCCAATCCGCTAGCCCTGTGCCTGCATACCAGCTCCAACCGTGGGGGACGCACAGAGACCCCAACAGGACGTTCGGCTTCCCACCTCAGTCTCTGCCACTGGGGTGTCAACACCTAGGGGGCAGCCTGGTCACTTACATTACATCCCCCAAAGGCTGGCAGAGAGGCAGGGGCTGGGGCAGGGGCGACCACAGCTAGTTTCGATTTCAGAACTCAAAAGGAAATGACCATTCTAACGAGAAATCAAAAGAATCCATTTCTTTCCCGTAGCTCTTTACAGTTTGACAAGAGCCTTCACACTTGTTGTCGCCTTTAGTGCTGCCAACAGTCCTAAGAGGACAGTGAACAAGAGGTCATCACCCCACGTTACAGATGAGGAAACCGAGGGGAGGAACTGGGGTAGTTTTCCAGGCCATGTGGTCTCTATGTGGCTCTTGCCTGTCAGTTTTAATACTCCCTGATTGGGAGAGCCAGCCAAACAGGCTCCCTAAGGAGGTTGTCCTGGCCACTTGAATGCTCTGGAAATTCCCTTTCAGTGGGGGCACTGCTGCTCACCTCCACGTATTCTAGTTACGACGTAACTAGAATAGTAGTCCCTGACTTACAACATATTCTATTTACGATGAACTGCACTTACAACCATCCAGGTTTTTTTGGTTTTTGTATATTTTATCATTAGTACATCTTCCTGGGAGGAAGTTATGGGAAAATGCATGCAGAGGATATGGAAAAAATTACTGAGTTATGTGAACACTTCAAGCATTTGATCAAGATAATATGATGGAAGAGATCAGTGGAAAAATCGTTCATATGGCAAGAACGTTGAATTTAGAACTTGATATGGCCTATGTGGAACAGCTCATAGATCACAAAGAAGAGGAATTGACAGTTCAGGACAATGGATTTTGAAGAGGAAAGAAATGCTAAAGAAGAAAAAAATAATGAGGAAGAGGAAGGAGCAAAGTTGTAAAAAAAATTTACAGTGAAAAGATTAGCTGGAGTCTTTTCTAAACTAAATCGGGACCTTCAGTTGCTTGAAAACACGGACCCAAAAGCTGATTGCTTTGCTACAGTTGATAGGCAGATTTGGAAAGCAGTGAAATGTTACCGTGAAACGTATGAAGAAAAAAAGGAAAGGATCATACAGACAATTCTCACTAATTTTCTAACTAGAAACACCATCCCTATTCCCAGTGATAATCCAGCTGATCCAGAACCTTCCACAAGTGGAGTTATTACCGCAACTGATAAAATGCCAACGTTGTCCAACTCTTCTTCATCAGTGGGGTAAATTTTTATGATTTGTGTATTTTTTAATGTATGTATGTATTAAAATACACCTTTAAGTTTATATGTAATGTTTCCAACCCCTAAAGATAAATAAAGGTTGGATTTATAAAGATAAAGATAATAAAGATAATAATAATGAAAAAAATGAGGTATTCGACTTCTGTCAGAACCAACTTACACCGGAGTCATCGGAACAGAACCCTGTCATAAACCAGGGATTACCTGTACCTTAAAAGACGGTGCAATGGAAACTGAACCCACAGCAGGAGGGGCTTGGGGCATCAGCTTGTCCCATAAATCATTGTGCATGCACTCCCAGGGGTGCCTGAGCGATCACAAAGTAGGAAAATTCTACCACTTGGAGGAGGACATGGGACCTGTGAGATTATAAAAACGACACCTCTGGGAGAGTGTGACTAAGGCAGAGCATCCAAACAGGTGTGCTGAAATGGGTTACAGGGTACTGCGACACTGCTCCTGTCCACCCCTGGGTGGTCTGAGGCCCAGACAGCCTCTTCCAGCAATAGGCAATTGTCTTCCTTGAGCCCATGCTGCCAGCACCAATGTTACCCTTTTCTATCTGACATGGGAACGTTTGGAAAGCAGGGCCTGAAAGATCAGGTTCTAAGTGGAAAGTGGGAAATCTGTACTATTTCTCCTGGAGCCCCTCCCTCCCTAAACCACCTTGCTGAGCCTCAACATCACCATCCGTAACATGAAGAACCACGTGGTCATTTAGTACCTCGTGGTGGTGGCATGAGGAGGCAGCTAGGTGCACTCTCCAAGACACTTAGGCAGCATGCTCAGCTTGGGCCTTGAATTCTCTCCGCCAAGGGAAACTTGGCAAGGATCTGCCCCATTCCCGTTTTGGTGCCAGGCATTGCAGAACTCCTTCCCACTGCCAAGGCCCCTGAGGCCACAGAAAGAGGGCTGGGCAGAAAAGCAGGGAAAACGAGGTCAGTTCTCCCAGCTGAGGGGCAGGGACCATAAAGAACGTAGTGAGAACAGGATGCTTTCGAGGGGGTAGGCATGGAGTGAAGGAGGCACTTTCTCTGAGCACCACACCTGAGTCTTGAGCCATTATACTTAGCAAGGAAAAAGGCCTTCAACCTCAGAGGGAAGCCCTGGATGGAGAACCTGGCTCTCAGGTGGGAACCAGGAGAGGTGTCACCAAGGGGCTCTCGCAGGGCCTGATGACAGGGCTCTCCTCCTGCCCTCTCTTGGAGCTCTACTTCTTCCTCCTGTTTTTGCTTGCATCTACTAAAGTCTCTTAAAAATCACCCTGGGTAGACACATGGACCTGGATCTTGCCAAATTCTATTTTAATCAATTACTAGCAAGTCAGATGCAGCTTCCTGCTCAGAGAGAATTCTACGTGAGCAAAACCAGGCAGAGCTGGGAAAAGCTGTGCTGGGTGTCCTCTCCGTCCCCCAAGGCTTGGGGATCTAGAGTTAAATAAAACACCACTACTACAGTTCTTCAGGACACAGCCATGTTAGAGGCAACAACCTGCCTATTTTCTTAGCTAGCCAACAGGGTTACCTGCACAGACCCATTGCCGGGTACTCTTCTCCTTTTTCCCTGATGACATGGGTGTCATGTCCCCGATGCGTGGCCAGAGAGGGTACCAGTCTGTCCCTTGGAGTTGAGACATCTTGGAAGGTCCCGGACTGCAGGGCATAAGGGCAGGTGTAACACCCATTATGCAGAAAGAAGAAGTCTCTGCAGGCAAACATCTGAAGGAGACCGAGCTCCTAATTCTGCCCCTCTTGCTTGATGGTGGCTAATTCTGCCCTCTCCAGAAGATGTTCAGTTGGGACTGAAATTGGATGGCTAATGGGAGAAGGGATTTTTTCTGACCCTGAGGGCTCTTGTTTAAAAAAAAAAAAAAAACCCTTGTAAGATGGAGTGAAGGCTGTGTGCTTTCCCCATTGCCCTGCGTGGTGATATGTGCTATGAAAATAAGAATGGAGTAAAGTAAGAGGGAATAGAGAGTGACAGGGCCTGGTATTTTAGACAGGGTGGTCGGGAAAGGACGCTGATGAAGTGGCATTTGAGTAGAAACCTGAGGGAAGTGTGGGAGCAAGTCAGGTAGACATCTAGGGGAAGAGCATCCAGGAAGAGAGAGTAACAGGTGCAAAGAACCTGAGTCAGGAGCATGGTCAGAGGATACAGAAAGAACAGCAAGGAGGCCACTGTGGCCCAAGCAGAGTGAAGGATGGGGAAGGACGTGACCTGGAGAGTGAAGAGGTGGGGTCACCTTGTAAGGATGTGGGCTTTTACTCTCAGTGAGATGAGGCCATTGGAGGATTTAGGGAGAGATGGAGCATTATCTGAAACAGATTTTAAACCAGAGTGGTTGCTGTGGGTGGTGAAAGGTGGTTGGATTCTGGATCTATTCTGAAGGTAAAGCAATAAGATTTACTGATGGGTTGGATATAGGGGGTAGGAGAAAAGGAACAGTCCAGGATGAGGCTTCAGATGGCCAGTATTGTTGCCAGGTCTGGAAGTATCTTTTCCTCAAGCCCAGGGAGAGGCCTCCAAAACACAGGTTCGTTAAGTCCCCTAGAGCCCAGCAGGTGGAAGACTTGGTCAAAACCACTGTCCCCCAAGCCTGAGTATGACTACTTTCCTCTTCAGAGACACCCCTACTGCCCTCTTCATAAACCTGCCCCAGGGTCTTACCTGACACCATCTCGCCACCATAGCCCTGCTTGACCAGGGAGAAGACAAGCTTCTGCTGGTGGGCGCAGTCAATGCACGCTTGCACGGCCTGCTGCAGGACCGCAGATGGCCTCTCGGGTCCGAAGTGCTCTGGGAGCTGCTGCACCTTCCTCTGCTCCAGGAACGGCCCTGCGTTGGCTTGCTTGTTGATGTAAAGGCAGACTGTGGAAACAGAGACCACAAAGCCCAGCATCAGATGTCCATCAGGCAATTGGGCTGCTCCCATGTACTGGGGCATGCTTTCACCATCCTCCTCTGCCCTGGGCCGTGGGAAAAGACTGACTCTTTCCAACAGAGGAAGTAAAAGAGGCAAAAGCACCAAACACCCCACCTTCTAGGGCTTTCTCTCAAGGGATGCTCTGGTAGGGGACAGATGGGCATACTCATACCTGACGTCCATACTCAAATCTGAATGGTGGAAGAGTACAGTGGCTCATGTGGACCGTGTGTGCAGACATATTTATGTGCTGGGCATGTGCACATACAAAATAGTCTTCCCCTCTTCCAAAGGAGCTATCAAGCTACACATAACATTTGCCATTTCTTTGTTAATCTTCTATGAATAAAAAATCATACATCCTGATCGCTCTGGAGACTATATACTCAATGAAGTCCTAAAGAGAGTGCTGCCTTCTCTTACACTCATCCCAGACAATTACAGGAAATCTAAGCTCAAGAAAATAGATGCTCAGCTGCCAATTTAGGTGAACCCAGTCAATGGTCTCCACACTTTAAAAACTACATACCCATCAGTAAAATTTTTTGAGCACATGTCCCAAAATATATTTGTTTATAAGTTATATATATTCTTGGTTTTATTAATGTATTGTATACATTTAAAAACATACCCAAGAAACAGAAATTTTAAAAGAATGAAATAAAAATAGATATTAATAGTGTCCTATTTTCTTATACAGTGAAATCTGTGAGAGCCAGAACTCGACAGAACTGCCTTGTTTTTCTGGGTCTTGCAAGTTTTCCACCTTTGACAGAGTGTAGTCTTACCACTTTTATATGGCTCGTTTTAATGGAGAATATTCGCATTTTCCTTCTCTGACAGGTTTCCACCTTACACAGGTTCCAGCTTTCACAAATTTTACTGTATATGTTAATGACTCCTCTTATGTATCATCTCTCCACCCTACCCCGCCCCCACTGGCATATGAACATCTTACCTTGGAGACCACCTACGCAAAGGATTGTTGAAGAAGGACTTTATGATGAGACCAATAGTATTTTGGAAGGGTTAAAAAGTAACAACAAAGGTGAAAAATTTTTTTACTGAGCACCTCTTATTACACTGGGAACTTTACATACTTTGCCCCTGGGTGGTGTAAATAGTTAATGCATTCAGCTGTTAACTGAAAGGTTGGTGGTTTAAGCCCACCCAGAAGCACCTTGTGAAAAAATCCTGGTGATCTCCTTCCAAAAGGTCACAGTCATTGAAAACCCTACAGAGCGCAGTTCTACTCTGACACACATGAGGTCTCCGTGAGTTGGAATTGATTCAACAGCAAATGGTTTATATACTTTTTCTTTTTTGATTCTCAAGACAAGCCTGTGAGTTGGGTATTATTACTGTATTACTAATGAAGAAACTGAGGCTAAAGTGGCTAAATGACAGCTCGAAGTTTGTAATCGGTGGTGGAACAGGAATTCGGACTGAAGTCTCTCTGAGGACAAGGCCTGTGCTCTTTTTACTCTAGAGGCTGCATTCACTTCCATTCATCCCAGACTATTAAGGAAAATCCAGTTAATAAGGGACCTTCATATGGGGCACTATGCTAGGCCCTTCAGAGAAAATGGTGAACCAAACATACGAAGCCCCTGCCTTCACAGAGCTGACAGCCCAGTATGGGAGACAGACCTACTCGGGGAATCACACAAACAGTGTGAGACTGTGGCTGTGGAAAATACTAGGAAGGGACTAGGAGAGCCTATACTGGGGGAATTTGACCCTGGCAGGACAATCAGTGAAGGCTCCCTGGAGAGAGATACGCTTGAGCTGTGATGTAAGGGAGGAACAGGGTGAACAGAAGGGAAGACCACTCCAGATGGAGGGAAGAGAATATGGCCATTCCTAGGGACTAAGAAAAGAAGGGCAGTATGGCTGATCACAGGAGGATGGAGCGTGCAGGACCTTGTCACCATATTAAGAAGTTTTGTCTTTACCTAAGAGCAATGGGAGGGGGTTGAAGGGATTCAAGTAGTGCGAAAGTGGGGGCTATGGTTGTGGTAAAAGGGGAGTGTGGGAATGTGTGTGTGATGGGATCAGATTGGTGTCACTATTGTGATGAACCGTTGGCTGACGGATGGATCAGAGAGAGAGAGAAATTGTGACGCACACTATCTCAACTCAGTTGGAGGGTGTTGAGTGGGACTAAAGGAGGTTAGGATCCTTAGAAGATCTGGAAGTTCAAATACAGGTAATGGAACATTCTTTTCAAAGTGACCAGGCTTACTATTGGGGCAAAGTAAATCATCAACCTCTCTTTCTTATCCCACCCCAAAGCAACCAGCTAAACTCAAGACACATTGAAAACTAAGGTTCAAATAACCCACACTGCGAGACATTTAAACTCATGTTCTCACAGAATCTGGTCACCCTATCTGCCGTGCAGCAAATAGACACCTGAGATCCTTCATGTGGAGCTTTCTCAAGTGGCAGCTCTTTCATTCATAAAGTAATTGTTAGATGGCCGGCTGCTTTGTTACCTGCTGGCCATGGCAGCCTTGGAACTCATTCTGCTGACCTACCTGTAAGAGCCTGTGGGACTGCCAAGCTGGGTACGGTGGCTGCATCCTGAGGGATGTTGCTGAGGTCCGGCTCAGGGGTACTCCGTGGAGGTGAGAGGGCTAAAGGAGTCATGAGAACCTGAGACTTCAGCTGCAAGAGAGAGCCCAGTAGGTCAGTGAAAATCTGGATATGTTCTCTATGCCTTTCCAGAATATTTCCTTAATATCAGTTAGCCATTGCTACTCTAACATGCTTCTACGACTTTCTATCGTGAAGCTTTGGGGGTTGAACTTCAGCTTTATGGTATGTTTGGGGTCACACTCAGAGTTCAGCTCTGCACCCTACCTTTGCAGTGGAGTCTCCCAGGAAATGACAGTGTCAGTTAGTGGGTGTGGAAGTATCAGAGGTATGAATAGTTGAAACCCATTAAGTCCTTTGACTGCAGGATACAGGATGGGTGGCAGTGTCCCATCTGAAACCCTCTGCTCCCCAGAACCCTGTGGTCAGGGCTTTTCCTGTGTCCACCCAGAGACTGACCCTGAAGTTCTCAGAGTCACTCTCCTCACTCTCTGCTGACCTTTCTTCTGGCAAAGTTCACTGATCCTGCTGGAAAAGAGAGCAGGAGCCATTTCTCCAAGGGGCTGACACTGTTCAGTGTTTATTCCCCACTGCTAAGACTGTCAGAACCAGCCTGGATGTGGAATGAGTGCATTTCCTGGTAGTGAGAAGTAGCCACCTTGAAGGTTGTTATGGATTGAATTGTGTTCCCCTAAAATATGTGTTGAATTCCTGGCCCCTGTACCTGTGGAAGCCCTATGGAGCTCAGTTCTACTCTGTAACACATGAGATTGCTATGAGTGAGAATCGACTCAATGGCAATGGGTTTGAGTTTTTTGGTTTGAGTGCCTGTGCATACGATCTTGTTTGGAAACAAGGTTTTACTTTTATTATGTTAGGTCATACCCAAGGAGTGTGGGTCCTAAACCTAAGCACTTCTGAGTTATAAAAAGACCAGAATAGACACACAGACACACATATGGGGGAAGACAGATGCCATGCGAAGATCGTATACAAGCCAAGGACATCAAAGAATACCCAGGGCTACCAACAAGGAAGGAATTGACACAGCCAAGACCCTAATTTGGACTTCTAATATCCAGAATTGTAAGAAAATAAATTTCAGTTCTTTAAAGCCACCCACTCGTGGTATTTGTGTTATGATAGTCCTAGGTAACTACGGCAAAGGTCTCACTGGAAACCACAAATGAGGAACTGAAATCTGCTGTTCTGAAATAAAGTGAAGATGATGATATCAACATGTCACTCTCTCTGCACCAAGAGACAGACAAGCTTCTAATCTTAGCTATCTACCCAAAACAATGAATAAGTCAGTCACTTTCCTCTACTCTACCGACCTATGTCTAGACTCACTCCAGACCAATAAAGTCAGAATCTCTGGGAGTCGGACTCAGACATCAGTAGTTTTTAAAGTTACTTAGGTGATTCCACAACACAGTCAAGACTGCGAACCATTGCTCAAGGCCAGTGCCTTTCAACTTTAATCAATCACCTGGGAATATCTCATTAAAATGCAGATTCCATTTCAGCAGTTCTGAGGGGGAACCTGAGAGTCTGCATTTCTACCAGGCTCCCAGGAGGTGGTGATCCTGTTGGTCCATGGACCACACTTTGTGTAGCAAGGCTGTATGTGCCGTTGTCAACATATATGCAGCCCCCACCTACATCCTGACTTGCTTCCTGGATTTTTAGGGTAGAATAATAAAAATAATCATGGAGAAATAGTGTTCCTATTGCTAGTTATCTAAACACTCTACATTCTTTCTTTTGTTCATTCAACAAACATGCACTGAGCACCTATTATATGCCAGACACTCTTTTATCTGCTAGGGGTACAACAGGGGACAAAGCAGACAACAATCCCTGCCCTCGAAGAGTTGACACTCTATTGGAGGAAGACAGACAATAAACAATAAATAAGGAAATAATACAGTTAGGTTAGAAAGTGATAAGAGCTGAGGGTGAAAATAAGGAGAGAAGGGGTATAGGAAGTACAAGTAGGGAAGTGCACTTGATGTTGAAATTTTGAATAGAGTGGTTAAGACAGGTCTCACTTCTTGGGTGAGATTGTTCAAAGACTTGAAGGAGGTGAGGGAGCAAGACATGCAATTATTTGAGGGAATAATGTTTGTGGCAACGAGAACTTCAAGTGCAAAGGCCCTGAGGCAGGAGCATGCCTGAAATGTTTATGTGACTACATGGAGGCCAGAGTGAGATTGGAGAGGTAATGAAGCCAGATGGGGCAGGGCTTTGTAGGGCGTTGTAAAGTCTTTGACTTTTACTGAGTACTTTCAAGCAGAGAATCTAGGAGTCTATACTGACATTATGACAATTTCTTAGACTGCTGTGTTCAGAAGAAACTGAACGGAGCCAAGTAGGAGGACCACTCACCTAGAATAGATGAGAGATACTGGTAGCTTGGATCAGAGTGATGGCAGTGGAGATGATGAGAAGTGGACAGATTCTGGATACATTTTGAAGGTGGAGCCAGCAAAATTTACTGACACATTGGATGTGGTATGTGAAAGAAAGAAAGAAGTCAAGGATGACTCCAGTGGTTTGGGCTTGGAAGGCTGCAGGTGGAGTAAGATTTTTCTGGGGGGAAGAGGGAAGTGAAGAGGCCTAGAGAAAATCAGGGATTGGTTTTAGATATGTTAAGTTTACGATAACTATTGGAAATCCAAGTGAGATGTTAAGTAGGAAGCTGCATACACTGGAGTCTGGAGTTTTAGGAAGAGAGTCTGAATGGAGATATGACGTTTGGAATCCTCACTATACAGTTGATCTTTAAGGCCATGATAATGGATGAGATCGCCAGAGAAGTGCGTGTAGATGGAGAAGCGAAGTATGCAAGGACTGAGCCCTGGAAGACTCCAATACGAAGAGGAGAGATGAGGAGGGACAAGCAAAAGAGACCAGGAAGCAGTCAGTGGGGAGAAAGAAAACCAGAAGTGTGTATCATGGAATCCAAAAGGAGAAAGTGTTTCATGGAGGAGAGAGTGATCGGCCATGTCAAATGCTCTGATCAAACTAGTAAGACTAGAAGTGAACCTAGATTTAGCAATTTATCAACAAGAAAAGTTGTGATGCCATGGGTGGGGTCAGAATCTGATTGGAATAAGTTTAGGAGATACTGGGAGACAAGGAATTGGGATTAGCAAGTAAAGACAATTCTTTCAAGAGGTTTTGTCATAAGAGGGAGCAGAGAATGTAAGCCATAGCAAGAGGGAAAAGTATGATCAAAGGAGTTTTTGCTTTTGTTTTTTGTTTCTGAGATGGGAGAAATAATAGTGCTTTAATGCTGAAGGAAATCATATGGTAGTGAAGGGGAAAATAATGATACAGAAGAGTGTGTGGAGAACTGCTGGTATAGGGACTTGGAGTAAGTGAGAGAGGATGATATTTAATACACAAGGAAAGGAGGTGGCCTTAGAGAGAAACACAGACTTTTTATCTATTCCAACAGGAAGGAAGGCAGAATGTCAGGGTCTGGATGCTGGGGTGGGTGGAGGTAGAGGTGGAAGCTTGCAGAAAGTTTCTTCCAGTGGCTTCTAATTTCCCAGTGATGCAGGAAGCTGAGTATGAGGATGGAGGAGGAGGACATATTTAATCAACCAGGGGAGCAGGAGGAGAGGGAGTGGATGGGATTACGGAGTGTGGCTGCTGAGCAGCATTTGGGGCTCACCGGGATGTGTGGAAAGGAACTTAAAATGAGATCAGTTAACAATGACCACTTTTGGTTTTACAGTGCTGCAAGGGGCAGAATCTGGGGCTCTCCATGGAGCCCCTGTGGTAATCAGAAGCTAGAATTAATAATAGAGATTTCACCTTATTATGAGTTTAGCATTTGAAAAATGAAAAGGCCCATCAAGTAGTACTACACTGCTAAATATTATAAAAAGATTTAAAAGGAACCTCAGTGGTGGAAATGAGTGAATCAGAAGCCTGCTGTGACTCAGACACCATGACCTTGGTGTGGCTTCCTGATCTGCCAAGTGTGACTACAGCAGTATCCACCCTGCTTGCTCTCAGACCTCATACCCCAAGGGTCCACTTGATGGCCTTTACAGGGGTGATATCCCGCTCTGTGGTCCCTGGGTGGTGCAAATGGTTTGTGCTCTACTATTAACCAAAAAGCAGGTGGTTTGAACCACCCAGCAGTGCTATGGAAGAAAGGCCTGGCGATCTGCTCCCTTTAAAGATCACAGCCAAGAAAACCTTTTGGAGCTCAGCTCTACTCTGTAACATATGGGGTTGCCATGAGTTGAAACAGACTTGAAGGCAACGGGTTTGGGTTTTGGTTTAGTATCCTGCTCTGCATGGCTCAGGCTGGAGAGACGGGTGGTGAGCCTGTAGAGCCCTTGAGGACTGTGGGCTCTGGCAGTACCTTGGCTAAATCCTCCTTTACAGGCCTAAAGCACTCCTACCCTCAACATACAGATAATGATGTTCATGGAAACAACAGGATTGGCAGTTGTTATCCCCTCCCCAACCCCCATCTTTAAGTAAATCACACAGAGGTCTTCGCTATCCCTCGCTAGAAAGATGAGGATGAGGATGATGCGGATGATGATAATGGTGATGATGATGACGGTGATGGTGACGAAAATGATGGCTAAAACTTAAATAGCCAGGCACTACTTACTGTTTATTTTAAACCTCATAACAACCCTCACATCTAATGCTTGCTCACTATTTTGATATTTATGGAAGGTATCTATCCATTGAACCCACCTCAAATGAGGTAATAGGATTATAATTGGCTCTTACCTCTGCCCATCATTGCTGCCCAGGTGAAGCAATTAAAGGGATTAGACTAAGTCACCGGGTTTTAGGGGAGGAAAGCCTTCTGTATTCATCTACCCTCTGAAACAGCTGCTGGGACTTTTGAACAAAGAAATCTCATGCGACTGTGGGTAATACATGACTTTTAAAAATATCCTTTTGGTAAGAGAATAAGTCAGCAATAGAAATGCCCTTTGACTTGGCATTCTAAAATTTCCATCTTACTGCTTTTTGTATTAAGCAATATAATTCTTTATATTGAATCAATATTAGCCTAGTCTAGAAAT